GGAAATCCCGAACCTTTGCGTTTTCCCACATGGTAAAAGGAAGGCAAAAGAGGTTGGCATGAGTTGGCAAGCCATGAGGCTTGAGTTGGCAGCCATGAGGCTTGCCATGCGCCAGCAACAAAGAAGAATATTGGGCTAGCAGCCAACACACCCATGAGACCTCCTCCACCTTCTGTTTTGGTGTATAAAATGGAATGGTGATGGTGAGTTGAAGACACGGCAAACATAGAGAGAAACACACTGCTGAGAGAGAGGCACAAAACAGAGAGAGCTAGTGAGAGCTATATTCTGTTTGTGTATCAGAGAGTGTGAGAGAGTGTGTTATATAGAGAGACAGTGAGTTGAGAGTGTGTAATCTCCTCCATTTGTTGATATATAACAACATCGCTCCCGTGGACGTAGGCCGGTTTGCCGAACCACGTTAAAAGTCTTGTGTTTTTGCTTGTGAGTGTCCCCTAGTGTGCCCAAGATCCACAACAAACATATCAGAGGATTTTGGGGTGTACCCAAATTTGGAGTACATTGATTTGAGCTATAATGAGTTCTATGGGGAGCTTTCTTGGAATTGGGGGTTCTTTGGAAACTTGACAAAGTTAAGCATCTCTAACACTCAAGTTTCTGGGAAGATACCAGCTGAGCTTGCTGAAGCACATCGAATTGAAGAGCTTGATCTCTCTTCCAATCATCTAATTGGGAATATTCCAAAGGAATTGGGGAATTTGAGTTCATTGCGTGTACTTGTGTTGGATGATAACAAACTTTCAGGCGGTATTCCAGTAGAAATTGGGATGCTAATGAATCTGGAAAAACTCGATTTGAGTGGAACCAATTTAAGTGGTGTAGTTGTGGCACAACTTGGGAATTACTTGAAGCTAAGGGAGTTGAATTTGAGCAACAATAGATTTAGGGGAAGTATTCCCTCAGAGATTGGGAATTTGGGTTCTCTTGAAAGTCTTGATCTTAGCCATAACTCACTTGTGGGAGAGATACAGCCACATATTGGAGAAATGCTCCGATTGGAAAGGTTGGATCTCTCCTACAACAAGCTCTCTGGTTCGATCCCATCCACTTTCAATCGATTGCTAAGCTTGATGTATGTTGATTTGTCCTACAATCAGTTGGAGGGTCCTATTCCTAATACTAGAGCGTTTCGCGAGGCTCCAATGGAGGCATTTCGCAACAACAAGAACTTGTGTGGAAATGCTCGGGGTTTGAATAGTTGCCCCTCTAAGATAAGGAACAATGTCAATGGGAATAATAAGAGGATAGTGTTGATTCTAATCATAGTAATTCCTTTATTGGGCTCTCTTTGTACTTTTATTGTCGTTGTTAAAGTTTTCTTTTTTTGTCGTGGGAGAGTAAGGAGTGAAGAAAACAAGTTTGGGAAAGAACAAGTGAAGAATTTATTTACGATATGGAGCAATGATGGTAAAATGGCGTATGAAAACATAGTCGAAGCGACAGAAGATTTCGACGCCAAACATTGCATTGGAGAGGGAGCGACCGGGCGTGTTTATAAAGCTGAATTGAAAACTGGTCAAGTGGTTGCCGTGAAAAAACTTCACTTATCTCAAGATAGCGAGGCAACGAACACAAGAGATTTTACTTCGGAGATTCACGCACTTACAGAGATAAGACATCGAAACATCGTGAGGCTACATGGTTATTGTTTTCACGCACGAAATTCGTTTTTGGTTTATGAGTTCTTGGAGCGGGGAAGCTTGGGGGCATTATTGAGAAACGAAATAGAAGCCGCGCAGTTTGAATGGATTAAGAGAGTGAATGTTATTAAAGGCGTGGCCAACGCGTTGTCCTACATGCACCATGACTGTTCACCTCCGTTGATCCATCGAGACATATCGAGCAAAAACATTTTGTTAGATGGAAAATGTTTGGTAGCTCAAAATTTTGTGGCTCAAATGGCTCAAATCCCTCAAAACGACGTCGTTTTACACTCATTTACACTCAAAACGACGTCGTTTTGAGGGATTTGAGCCATTTGAGCCACAAAATTTTGAGCTACCTAGCATTGTTGTTGTTAGATTTGGAATATGAGGCTCACATCTCAGACTTTGGCACGGCTAGGTTGTTGAAGCCTGACTCATCTAATTGGACCGCATTCGCAGGAACCTTTGGATATGCTGCTCCAGGTACCATTTTATTAACCAAACAAAATTCATTCTGACCCGATTCGATTCACCTTTCTTTCCTCTTGAGCTACCTACCATTTTGATTCTCATCTAGTTTTGCTATCAATTTCCTAATGATACAATTTTGGACGGATAAACTTCTTTGATTTTCTTTCCTCTTTGGTTGTTTTTAAAACACTAAGGGTCTGTTTGGTTGTTTTTAATTTTTTTGTGATAGTTTTTAATTTTTTTGTAAATATAAACTGAAAACTGAAAACAAAAACGTTACCAAATAGACCCTTACGCTGTGTTTGGTCGGAGGATTTGAAGAGAGATTTGGAAAGTAAAAGGAAAAAGTTAGGTGAATGTAAATAAAATATACCTACATTTCGTCTAGTTTCACACACATTTTCCTTTTCCCTTTCCAAATCTCTCCCCAAATCTCCCAACCAAACACAGCATTAGTGTTTTGATTTTCGTGATGACTTTTGTGGATTTTATCAATTTTGACTTCTAATTATTTATTTTGATTTTCGTGATGACTTTTGTGGATTTTATCAATTTTGACTTCTAATTATTTATTTATTTATTTTTTTAAGGGTAAATTAAAATTTCTTAATTGTACAACAATAAAATTCGAACTTGATCTCGCCAGGGTTATTCAATTTAATCTAATCCCAGAGACGTATTACTTGGCATTATTATTGTTATTTTAAGGGTAAATTACACTTACCTCTCTAAGGTTTCTGACAAATATAAGAATCTCCCTTATGGTTTCAATAATTACAGAAATCTCTCATACTTTAACTGACAATATCAAGATTTCCTAATTTTTTGACTGTCGTTTATATAACTAACAGAAGATATTGATGTCATCAAAGATAAATACTGAAATACTCATAATATCCTCAAGTGTCTTGAACCCATCAATCTCTTATTTCTCTTCATCCTCTGTTCATCTTTCCTTCTTCCACGTTTCTTATCCACATTTCCCCTATTACAAACCCACACTATAGAATAGCCACCACCCACAACTTTTGATAACCACCGCTCAATCATTTATTCATACATTTAGCACGTGACCTAAGCCGCCACCCACAACTTACAATAACCACCATTCCCAACAAATTTTAGATAATAGTTATAAAAAAAAAAACGCCAATTTTAGATGGCAATGCATCATTAACTTTACCCATTTGCTTCAGACCCAAACCACCATTTAACAAGATGAATCTTCCTCTTCTCATCAGAACCTCCCCCAAAAAATGTATTATTACAATGATCAATTGCCTTATTAATTGATTCTGGAATAAGAGTAGTTTGCATAGTGTAAACTAAAGTAGAAGAAGTAACAAATTTCAATCCATACAAATCAAATACAGAACATAAAATAGGCCACACACCACCAAATAATTTTCCCAAACAAAATCAAAATCAATCAATCAAACGAATTATATTAGCAAAGCAAAACTAGTTGGAAATTGAAACCTCTTGTTTGGACTCCCAAAACTGAGGGAATTGGTAGAGTGAGTAAAAGGCAAGCTTAATCTCATCCCTTACCATCTCTTACACCAATATAGTAGCACAATCCCTTTCTACCTTTGAAACCACCGTCGTTGTGTTTACCTCAGCCATAATCTCTTTTTCCACTATTTAAACCATACCCGCCACCACCTTTGTGGGTTTGATTTGGAACCATATCCACCATCACCTCTATGGGTTTGATTTGGATCTATGCAATTTAGAACTATACTCTACAGTGGTTGTTTGATTGCAGAAAAATGAGAAACAAGTGTCAGTGGTAGTTTGGTTGCAGAGTTTGTTTGGAGAGGGTAGGTTAGGTTGGGTGTGGTGAGGGTTGTTGGTTGTCATTATGAGAGAATAAGAGGGGTCCGATCTCATCATCTGTGGTCTCCTTGTCGAGTCGTCATCGGAGACCAAGAAGAGAGGCACCATTGGGTTGGGTTGGGTTGGTTTGGTGGCTTTGGGTTAAAAAAGTAAAAAGGCATCACTTTGTAGGGTATTTTTATCTTTTCACCCTTGAATTAAAGGGTATTATGGTCATTTTGTATAGGCAAGTAATGTTGTTTGTGCAAAATTGACGAATTGGGAGAATCTTGATATTGCCAGTTAAAGTAGGGGAGGTTTCTGTAATTATTGATATCACATGGGAGGTCCTTAAATTTATCAGAAGCCTCAGGGGAAATAAATGTAATTTACCCTTATTTAATGTGTCGAAGTTACAAAATTAGATAAATTTAACTGATTTTTTCTTTTAATTTTGGTCTATTTTTGTAGGTTCATCAAGACTATATGATTCTGGAAATTTTTTTTTTTTGAAGAAAAGAGAAGTCGATCTTTAAATATTTTTAATTTTAGGTTGTTTAATAAAATGGACCGTAAAAGTGAAATTTTTTGATAGTTTTTAAAAAATCATTAAAGACAACAAAAGGCAAGTAAAAAAAAAAAAGAAAAAAGAAAAAAAAGAAAAAGAGTGTGTATCACTTAATGTTATACCCAATATATATTCCAAATAAGGAACCTTGCAATTAGCAAGATTGGATTTAGTGATATGTAATTTTTGTTTGGTGGCTTTGGGTTAAAAAAGTAAAAAGGCATTACTTTGTAGGGTATTTTTATCTTTTCACGCTTAAATTAAAGGGTATTATGGTCATTTTGTATAGGCAAGTAATGTTGTTTGTGCAAAATTGACGGGAGCTTCTATATACACACACCAAACACCCTCAATACACACACTTAATGAAGGAGGTGTGTAGGAAGTGTAGTGAGGAGAGATGTGTAGAGAGTGGATGTTGTGTGTGTAAATAGAAGCTCCCAAAATTGACGAATTGGGAGAATCTTGATATTGCCAGTTAAAGTAGGGGAGGTTTCTGTAATTATTGATATCACAGGGGAGGTCCTTAAATTTATCAGAAGCCTCAGGGGAAATAAATGTAATTTACCCTTATTTAATGTGTCGAAGTTACAAAATTAGATAAATTTAACTGATTTTTTCTTTTAATTTTGGTCTATTTTTGTAGGTTCATCAAGACTATATGATTCTGGAAATTTTTTTTTTTTGAAGAAAAGAGAAGTCGATCTTTAAATATTTTTAATTTTAGGTTGTTTAATAAAATGGACCGTAAAAGTGAAATTTTTTGATAGTTTTTAAAAAATCATTAAAGACAACAAAAGGCAAGTAAAAAAAAAAAAGAAAAAAGAAAAAAAAGAAAAAGAGTGTGTATCACTTAATGTTATACCCAATATATATTCCAAATAAGGAACCTTGCAATTAGCAAGATTGGATTTAGTGATATGTAATTTTTATTACGGAATCAGGCTAGGGAAGAAATTCAATGTGTGCAAACTTAGTACTATTGTTGCAACTATGAATTTAATAAGAAAGTAAATCAATACTTCTACCCAAGCACCTACAATGTAGGATAATATAATTTGATAATTGATATAGAGGATTTAAATTTTTATTTTTATTATTATTATTATTTTTTGGTGGCAGAACTTGCTTACACAATGGAAGTGAACGAGAAATGTGATGTTTATAGCTTTGGGGTGGTAACATTGGAAGTGATCTTGGGAAGCCATCCGGGCGCTTTCATCTCATTCCTATCATCATCGTCGTCATCATCATCATCATTGTCATTGTCATTGTCATCATCATTTGCCGATCACATATTGTTGAAGGATGTAGTGGATCAACACCTCTCGCCTCCTATGGATGAATTTGCAGGAGAAGTGATCACAGCTATGAAGCTTGCATTTGAATGCTTGAGCTCCAGTCCACAATCTCGGCCAACCATGCAACATGTTTCAAAGAAGCTATCAACTAAGAATCCACCTCTGTCCAAGCCTTTCCTTTCAGTGACACTAGGGCAATTGTTTAATCTACAATACTGAAATTATGGCTACTTCAATTTTTAGGAATTATTAAAATTATTGTTGAGAGAGTTCTCTAATTTTTTTTAATTTTTATTATTCTGGTTATCTTTAAATTCAATAGAATTATTAAAAAGTTGTTATAATTTGTTGCTATTGATTCTACTTTCTACATGACGCATTTCTAGCTGATTTTTCTGTTGGCAAAAATAATTATTTTTTGGTAACTTTAATGCAATATTAAAGTGGATGCCAATCCTCAATTGAGGTAGAGTAAAGTGGGTTTAGATTCTTTGTAGTGAGATTTTTATACTACAAAAAGAATGACAAAAAACCATTAAGATTTGAATGAGAAATTGACTCATTAAGTTGGCCTCATGAAAAAAATGTTGGGAAAGGTGTAAAACCTTTTATCCCACATTGATTGTAGATGAGAGCATTGATAGGTATTTAATTCCCATTTTTTGCCTTAGGGTGTGAGCCCTTTGGGGCATCCATATTTTCTGAAGGAAGGGAGTTATGGATGCTTCAAGGATGGACTTGGGTCAACACTATTGCCATGACCCAAACCCGCCCCTAAAAGTTTGGGTCATAACTGGCTGATAATTACTTGATTACCTTCGGCGCCAAACAAACATACAGAGTAATTATAGTAATGGGGCCAAAAACGGAATTATATAACAAAAGAATGAGCGCATTGAGCTGTGCCAATATGAGTAAAATATAACACAGTCACATCATTTGCATGCCCATGCAAAAAGAATATAAGTATCAACGGAACTTTGTACGTATTGTTTACAAACCCAAGACCATAATAGCAAAAACAAAATAAAGTCAAGGTATGATGTGAGTCAAAGACAAAACTCCATCTCGGAGGCATGACTCGATTAGGTCACAAAAATAGCTCCTAAAGCTGACTCTAGGGGTGTGCTCCATGCTGCGGATCACCTATATGTGCATATATAATTTAGGTGAGCGAAGCTCAATGAGTAATAATATAATAAAGCAGTGCAAATGGGTAATTATAAGGTTCTTAGAATATTCATAATCATACAAACAGAATGGCCTTAGGCCCCGTTTGTTTTGGGGTGTAAAGGATGGAATGAGATTAGGATGGAGGTGAGGCTATTTAGTGTTGTGTTTGTTTGTAGAGTTGAGTAAGTGATTAGGATGGAGGACGGGATTAAGATGGAGGTTGTAAGGGGCATTAAGATGGAGGAGGTGGAGGTGGTATTAGAAAAATAGTGAAGGGATTAGAATTTGTTTTATTTTTTTTATTTTTTACAGATTGGGAATTTTTTTTTGAACATTAATGTTTAATTTTTTGTATTTTTTATTTGTTTTATTATTTTATATAAAAATAATTTAACAATTCATACACTAACAATTATCATCAAAACAAACACAATTTTACTTAATCCTCTCACTATCAATCCCCTCACTATTAATCCCCTCACTATGAATCCCCTCCATTCTACCTCTGAAAACAAATGGGGCCTTAGGCTTAATCATATATCAAAACGGCCTCGCGCCCAACATATATCAAAACGAACTCGGGCCCAACATTGCACATGTCACATAATATAAATGAAGTTTCTTCATTTCGATCAAATCAAAATGTCGGCACCATTCACTGTTCATGGTTTGAGGTACACAATAAAGAACATGTATGTACAATATTATTACTCATAGTGTGTTTGATCTCACAGCGTCTCCTCTGTCACATGACCTACACAAACATTTCACATGCACATTCGATAAATCATTTGCTTCAAGTCGTACACTTATCTTCCATAATTCACAACCTTCTTTAACGAGTTTCTAGTCATAATTTAACTCTCAAAAGGGTTTAAATAAGGTTGGTAATGCATTTCGGAGGTCGGGAGTATAAACACAAAAAAATAGATTTTTCCTCTTACCTGGCCGCACGTGCTGCTGGCCTACCTGCTCGAGCGGTCTAGCTCTGCTCATGCGAAAGCTCGAGCTCCTCAAGCGCACAGTGTGGTCTAGTCCAGGCTTGGTTCATGGGCCGCTCGTGCGGAGCCCGTGGCCGCACAAGCGGTTTGGGCACACCCAGATAGTCCAAAAATGGCTAAAAAATGCAAACTCTCTCACTTCATTTCCAAGCCCAAATTCATTCAAAAACATCTCAAAAACATGATATACTAACATGATTTAAGGGTAATTACACATTAAACCTATCAATCTTGTTTATATTTTAGATTCATCGTTACATTTCTTTCTCATAATCATTCATTACATAACCAAGTTCAAAATACATAATCCATGAATAATCTTCCAACAAATCTTGTTTTCATGAATCATCTAGGGTTTATTCCTTGGATCAATCACAAAAATATCTCAAATCAAACAAAGATGAAGAGGTTAGGGTTCAATCTCATATATTTAGCTTTAGCGACTACAAAACTCAAAACCCTACCTCAAGTTCATAATTCCTTCTTGATTCCATGACAAAGATGAGATAAAGACAAAGATTGTAAGTAAATTAACATATCTTAACTCAAATCTAGGGTTTACCCTTTGATTCTCTTCAAATCCCTAGTTTTCTTCTTCCTCTCTCTCTAACTCACTCTCTAGATCTCTTAAGCAACAATGAAGAACACAAAAGGACCAACACATATATGACTTAACTCTAAAATTTCAATTTAATCATTATGAATCGTAATTTTTTAAACTTTCACTGTAAGCTCTATAAATCATGCTAATCATAGATATGAAGTCGGTTTTTGTTTACCGTGCCTCTAAGGCTTTCAATTTCAGTTCAAAGTTGTAATTACAACAAATATTTCTACGCCCAACAGATTTTATTCCAAATTCACATAATTCACATATTCAAACTTTCAAATTTGTATCAAACACATAATCACATGCATAATTAAGTAGAGTATGGGTTGGGTTATCGCAGTTTTCCCTCTTTTAGGATGTTTGGTCCTTCAAACTTGTTTACCTCAAGTTGAAATTGCCTTATTTCTTCTTCCCTTTCCCAAGTGGCTTCGTTTCCATGATGTTCCCTTCATTCCACTTTTATCATTAGGATAGTCTTGTTCCTTGGTTGCTTGACTTGCTTATCAAGGATTTGAAGGGGTTTCTCCTTATAAACCATGTCATCATCTAGCACAATTTGCTGATAGTCAATAACATGAGAAGGGTCTCGAAGGTAGCCTCACAACATTGATACGTGGAACACATTGTGCACTTGCTCCACGCCCGGTGGTAAAGCAATCCGATAGGTAACCGAACCCAATCTTTCTAAAATTTGAAATGGCCCTATGTACCGGGGTGACAATTTCCCTTTCTTCCCAAACCTTGTGTGCCCTTTCATTGGAGTGACTTTGACAAAGACATGATCCCCAGCTTCAAATTCCAAGTCTCTCAATCTTTGATCCGCATAGCTCTTTTGTCGGCTTTGAGCAGTTTTCAATCTCTGTTGGATGATTTGAATCTTTTCTGTAGTAACTTGCACAATTTTAGGCCCAATCAATGATCTATCCCTAACCTCGGACCGACAAATTAGAGTTCGACATCTTCTCCCATGCAAAGCTTTATATGGTGCCATCCCAATACTGGAGTGGAAATTATTGTTATAAGCCAATTCTGCCAAAGGTAAATGAGTTTCCCAACTTTCACGAAAATCCAAAACACATATCCAAAGCATGTCTTCTAACGTCTGTATAGTTCTTTCAGATTGTCCATTGGTTTGTGGGTGAAATGCGGTACTGAACCTCAACTTCGTCCCCAATGTTTTTTTGTAAGCTTTGCCAAAACCTTAACACAAACTTAGAACAATGGAAATCGGAATACCGTGCAATCGAATAATCTCAGCAATGTACACAGTAGCAAGTCTATCGACATTATAAACAGTTTTCACAGGCAAAATTTGAGCATACTTAGTCAATCTATCCACAACAACCCATATAGAATCCATACCTCGGGGTGTTCCGTGTAAGCTCATAATAAAATCCATAGTTATATGCTTTCACTTCCATTTCGAAATAGGGAGAGGTTGAAGTAACCCCACCGGTCTTTGGTGCTCTGCCTTCACTTGTTGACATTGAAGGCATCTTGAAATGAACTCCGCAATTTCTCTGTTCATATTGGGCCACCAAAAAGCTTGCTTGAGATCTTGGTACATTTTGGTATTCTCGGGATACACAGTAAATCTGGACTTGTGAGCTTCTTCCAAGACTCTTCCTTTAATTTTAGGGATATTAGGAACACACAATCTTCCTTTGAATTTCAACACTTGAGCTCCCAAAGAAAATCCCGGTCTCGGCTTTGTTTCCATCTCATCATATACTTTCTTGAGAAATTCATCCTCCAATTACCTTTTTTTTAATTTCCTCAATAATAGCCAGTTGTGCTGCCATCGCGGCTAATTCTAGACACCCCATTTTTGACAGTGCTTAAGACTTGGGTGCCACCGATTGATCACTCAATGATGAAAGTTGTGTTATGCAAAAGTTCAATTTCTTCAGTAAGAAGAGCTCCAAATCCCAACCTTACACCCCATTTTGGACCAAAACTTTTTTGACCAAAATTATTTTAGAACTCAAAACCCTTTCTTTCAAAATATTTTTCGTAAATATTTCTACCATGTTCCGAGGCTTGCATTTCGTTGAAAGTTGCACTTTTCGGTAAGTCGAGCAAGGACAAAGTGGAGATAAATGGAAGAGAGGTGAAATCTTTGAAAAATATTTTAAACATCTTATTTAGAGGTTTGGAGTTGAAGAAAATTAGAGGGGAGGAAAGAAACCTAGTTGGGGAAGAAGTTGGGCATGAAACCGTTAAGAGAGAACTAAGCAGTCTCACTAAATCAAACCTATCCTTTTGTATACTTGAACTTTAGTTATGAGGCCACCACCATTGGAAAGTGGACTTCTAGGGCTTCATTTTAGCCAAGAATCTCCTAAAGCCGAGTCCAGATGAGGGAGATATGGCTGGTTGAAATTAGGCATAAATCCGATTAAGAAAAAACTGAGCAACCTTCACTACAATAGACATATCTCTTAGCACATTTAAAATTTAGATGTGAGGCTACACCATTGGAAATTAGACTTCTGGGGCTTCAATTTAGACTCAAGAATGACCTGCAAAGGAGTCTAGATGAAGGAGATATGCGCATTTGAAGTTGGGCCTGGAAGCAAATTTTTGATGGCCGACATTGCACACTTCTGGCCGGTCGGCCGCTGGTGAAAAAGCTAGATATTTTTGGCCAGCTGTCCCCATAAGCTGCAGCTGTTCAAGGCTTGAGATTTTTGACTTGTTAGGCTATTTTTCTATATATACCTGGCCAAACCTCTTGATTTAAGGTTCAAAAAAAAATTCCAAAAGCTCCAATTCTTGGAATTCTCTCTCTATCTCTATCTTGTAACCTATACTCCCTCTCTCTACACTTCCTAAACCAATATTGGAGCTCTCCTTGCTGAAATTATTGAGTCTAAATTTCAGCCTTTTAGAGTGAGAATTGGTTGGTTTGTGGACAAAAGTGTTATTCCTCTTCAAGAGGTATAATTTTGAGCACCTTTGCACTACTTCTTTTCTATCTTTTCTTGCTGATTTAGAAGTGTTTTTCAACTATTTTTATGGGCTAAAGCTTGTGGTTTAAGGCTATTAAAGGTTGATGAGTTAATCACCCTTCTTTGAACCTTGTTCTCTATGCCTTTACACTTGTGTTTCTCATTCTTTTCTTAAATTTTTTTCAAGCTTTTACCACTGATTTTCAGAGGTTTTTAGAGGCTAAAAATATTGTTTTGAGATCTCAAAAATGGAGGCGTTAGCCACCCCTCTTTATGCTTGTTTACTAGCTCAAAAGCTCCATGTTTTTGCTTATTGTTTTAGCTACTTTTGTCTTCATTCCAGCATGTTTTCCAACTGATTTTGGGCTATAAAAACTCAGTTCTTGTGGCCTAAAGGTAGTGGTTTTAGGCCATTTTGAGTTAGGGGATGGTTCATCCTTCTTATTTTTTTGCTTGTAAAGCTTTTGTACCTTTGTTCACCACTTTCAAACCAACTTTTTTGGGCCTTTTAACCACTAAATTTCAGAGGTTTTTCAGTGGCAAAAAAACTCATTTTGAAGTCCAAATTTGGAGGGGTTAGCCTCCCCTCCTTGTGTCTTGCTTGCGTGCCTAGTTTGCCCCGTATATTAGCTTAATGTTTTAGCTTTTTGTGGCTTACCTCCAGCATGTTTTGCACTCTATTTTGAGCTATTTTGCCACTGTTTTGGCTGTTTGGTGCTTTTAAGTCTTATTTTGCATGCTTCTAGCGTGAGTGTCTTCACAAGTTTGGGGTTTTAGGGTCTTAGACACCTCTTATTTGAGTTGATAGCATATTTTAGTGTCGTTTTACACTTCATTTTAGCGTTGTTTTACACTTAATTTTAGCACTATAAACTCTGCAACCTCCCTCTTTGCTTCTCTCTTTCATTTATTTTTGAGGGTTGTTTTAAGCTTGGGATCCTTTAAGCTTGAGATTGAGGTCATGCTTAATGGTTTAATCCTCTTTGAGGGTTCATTATCAACGACATGATCTCTCTCTTGCCTTACATTATCCCTTGGTTGACATTTCTTCCATCTTAGAGGACACTCACCAATGGACAAATTGATTAAAGAATGATTTGGTAACTAAAATGTGTAAACAAAATTGGCAAGTAAAAGTGGCAAGATAAACACTTCTTTGTGTTGCATTGCATGTGTTCAAATCGAACGTTAATTTGAACACAAGGAAAATGGGACATTTCATACTCAAAAGTGATGAAATGTGCCACTTTCTTAGGTCACCATTGCCCTTGATCATGCATGATAGGGTGATGGTCATTTTGGTCTCATTTTGCATTTATTGAACTTACACAATTGGTTTCACAAGCCATCATGCAATGAAATTGCTTGATTGATGGCTTATGAACCAAATTTTGTCCCTCCTTTGATTTTCCCATGAAAAAGAGAGGCAAAGTGTGCAAACAACCCTTGAAAAATACACCGTTTTGCTCTGTTTGCTCTCTGTTGCAGCAAGGAAGTCCAAACTAGCAGTGGCTGACAGTCACCACCAGTAGCCAACCGGCCACCAGTGGTAGCTGATCGGCCACCATTGGTAGTCGATCGGCCCCTTGTCGGCCATCAATGAAATTTGTACAGTGTGTTGGTAAGGTGGAGCAGAGGTGTTCTAGAAGTTGGCAGCATTGTTAGTGTTCAAATGTGCAAACAAAGGCATTCAGCAGCAAAGCAGTGGCTTTTTGGGTGGAAATCGAGCGTGTGCATGAGCATCTCTTGCATTCCGAGCTTATTTAACGCTTAAATATTTAGCTTAAATATGTGTTGTAATTAATTAGTTAGTTTAACTAGTTATTCAATTTTGTCCTGTAATTAGTTAACTAGAATAGTTAAATTAATTTGGTTTGTAATAATTAGTTAGCTAGTATAGCTAGTTAATTAGTTTCAATTTTTGTATTAGTTAGCTTAATTAGTGTTGCTAGTTGGTTAGCTTATTCATTCGGACCCTCCTTCATGAGGGCGTAATGTTGTAATAAGTGTGCATGAGTATGTGTATGTCTTCCAACCCCACGTCTTTTTCTATTTTATTTAATCGCTTTTGATGGTTAGATTAGGGACATGTTTTAATTAGCATATCGCATGCTTGTATCTATTCATCTTGTCTTGCATGCACCGAGGCTCGGCACATCATTCAAACTGCAATGTCATTTCAATATTTATTTGAATACGTGTTTAATCGCATGTTATCAAAATTGATTCATATGCCATATTAGTAGCCGAGCCTATTAAATTGCATATTACATGTGTTGCATTAGACATTTTATATAGTTAGGAATCATGCATATTTTTCTAACTCATATCTTCTTAGCTTGGAGTACTAGGTGAGTTTTAATGCTATAGCATACTTGCACGAGTGTAAGTGATTGCCATGTCTAGCATGCTTGCCATGAGGTTAAATGCTTACTTGATAAACTGCTTGAATGCTTGTGGATGAAGGCTTGTTGTTTGAATTGGAACGATTCAATGAATGCGCGTTTTAAGCCCACTTTGTTGAGTGGCAAATCCATTTTAAGTCCACTATGTTTGGTGGCAAATCCGCAAACTTTAAGCTCACTTGAGGTGGCAAATTCAAATCATTTTTGCAAAATAAACATGAAATTGAATTGTTCAAATTCTTGCGATTTAGTCTATACTTGCTTGTGCACCTCACATAGTAAGGTTAGCTTAATAACCGGAACAAGAGCACATAATGTTTATAAAAAGCATATCATGATTAGTAGAGGCCGATCTTTGATCGGGCGAGTGGGGGTGCTCAATTTATGACCTTCCCCCCTCGTACCTAAGTTCCCGAGCCGAGGCAACTTTAGCGATGACAGACGCGTGGCCTTTGGCATGAGTCAGGGTTTCCTAAATTTCTCCAAAACAAAAAATATTTAGGTGGCGACTCTGTATCTGGCAAATTGGTTCAATTTTGGCATTTTTGATTTAAAATTGCTTTTCCAAAAAGGTTTGTCGGATTTGGACTCTTTGGTGTTTATCAGTTTCACATTGCACTTGTGATATTAGATTCAGAACCACGGAGTCTGAACTGTAGGGCTTTCTTTCGAGCTTCTGAAAGGGCGCGTGAAAAAGTCGAGCCACACTAACATTCCACTCAGTTCATGTAGCACGATTTCCACTTCCATTCTTTCCAGGTCAAGTAATAGTTCATTCCGCTCTATGAGCAAACATGCTAAATTTCCCATTGACTTTCAACTAAGAGTATCCGCTACCGTGTTGGCGTTGCTGGGATGATAATAAATCTGCAAGTCATAATCCTTGATGAGTTCTAACCTTCGTCATTGCCGCATATTAAGCTCCTTTGAGTAAAGAAATATTTGAGGCTCTTGTGGTCGGTGTAGACTTCACATGTTGCTCCATAAAGATAATGCCGCCATATTTTCAATGCAAATACCACTGCAGCTAATTCTAAATCATGCGTAGGGTAATTTTTTTTTCATGTGGCTTCAATTGTCGAGATGAATATGCAATTACCCTTCCATTTTGCATAAGTACACGCCAGAAACCCTTGCGAGAAGCGTCACTATAAACAACAAACCCTTCTGTACTTGATGGAAAGACGAGAACCAGTGCTATTGTGAGCCTTGTCTTTAATTCTTGAAAGGTGGACTCCCTTTGTTCTGTTCACTCAAATGGAACGCCTTTTTAAGTCAACTGGGTAAGTGGCATTGCAATCTTAGAGAAATCTTTAACAAATCTTCGACAGTAACCCGCTAAGCCGATAAAACTGTGTACTTCTGTAACATTGGTAAGAGCAGGCCAATTCACAATAGCCTCTATCTTTTGTGGATCGACAGACACCCCACCCTTGTTAATCACATGCCCTAAAAACACAACTTCATTCAATCAAAATTCATATTTCTTCAATTTAGCATATAACTTCCTATCCCTAAGTGTTCGAAGAATTAATCTCAAGTGCCTTTCATGTTCCTCCCTACTCTTTGAATAAATAAGAATGTCATTAATGAATACCACCACAAACTCATCCAAATATGGTTTAAAAACTTGATTCATCAAATCCATAAAAGCCGTTGGTGCAATTGTAACCCCAAATGGCATGACTAAAAATTCATAATGGCCATACTTGGTTTGGAAGACGGTCTTCTCCACATCCTTTGCTTTGACTTTTAATTGATGGTATCCGGATCTCAAGTCAATTTTAGAAAACACTTGTGCCCCCTGTAATTGGTCAAACAAATCATCAATCCATGGTAAAGGATATTTATTCTTCACCGTTACCTTATTAAGTTTTCTGTAATCAATACACAACCGAAGGGTCCCATCCTTCTTCTTCATAAACAAAATGGGTGCGCCCCACGGCGATGTACTCGGTCGGATAAACGCTTTGTCAAGCAATTCTTGCTACTGTATTTTCAATTCCTTCATTTCTGCCGGAGACATTCTGTATGGAGCCTTAGAAATCGGTTGAGTACCCGGTATAATATCAATAACAAACTCATTCTCATGGTCTATCAAGTCCCCTGGAAATTCTTCAAGAAATACATCCGAAAACTCATTAACAATCTGAATATTTTCAACACTCACCTCGGTTGTCTCTGCATGCAAAATGCTTCACAAATAACCCCCACAACCTTTCTAAAGTAGTTTGCAAGCTTTCATAGCCACTATCAAATAGGGTGGAGGGACTACCCCTTGTCCCACAAAAGTAAACTCATCTTGACCTGGTGGGTGGAACACAACTTGCTTAGACACACAATCGATGGTTGCATGATACTCAGCTAACCAATCTATTCCCAAAATTATATCAAAGTGTACCATATCAAGAGGTATCAAATTAGCACATAATGGAATATCTCCAAGTAAAAGCTCACATGTAGGATACATAGAAGCACATAACATATAGTCCCCAGATGGGAGAGACACGAACACCACATAATTCAAGGGTTCCATGGATCTATTCAAATTAGGAGCAAATGTTTTCGAAACCATGATACTCAGCTAACCAATCCATTCCCAAAATTATATCAAAGTGTACCATATCAAGAGGCATCAAATTAGCACATAATGGAATATCTCCAAGTAAAAGCTCACATGTAGGATACATAGAAGCACATAACATATAGTCCCCAGATGGGAGAGACACGAACACCACATAATTCAAGGGTTCCATGGATCTATTCAAATTAGGAGCAAATGTTTTCGAAACAAAGGAATGGGTGGAACCCGAATCAAGTAGCATATGAGCAGGTTGGCCATTGATGGAAAGTGTACCTGAAACCACCGCGTCTAAATTCTGGACATCACTTGGAACAAGAGCAAAGACTCTCCCTTGCCTAACATTGTCTCTAGAAGTAGTTTGCAAGAGTGGAACCGGCTGAACTAGCAGTTGGCCTATTCCCTTTTTGTTGCCTAAATGTAGGACAATCTCCTACCATATGCCCCGTCTTCCCACAATTAAAGCAAGATCCTGTTGCTCGATAGCAAACCTCCCCGGTGCTTCTTTCCATACTCTGGGCAAGTTGGTGCCAAATCACGGGTCGAACCTGAAGTGTTGGAAGTTCCCAAATTTTGTTTCTTATTTTGTGAGGACGCCAACCCTTTGTGCATATTAGAAGCCTGCCTTTTGCCCTTCTAATCCGAGTACCGGTTGCGGTTGGCTTGGTTACCTTTTGCTATGATGGCCCTATCCAATACATCTACGTATTTCTGTACCTTTAACACATTAATTTTCTCAAGAATGGAGTCTCAGAGACCTTCCTCAAATTTCCTTTACTTTTTGTAGTCCGTATCAACCATATGCAGCGTGAAACGGGCTAACTCGGCAATCTCTACTTCATACTCCGCTACGGTTTTGTTCCCTTGCTTCAAGTTTTCAAACTCCAACACATTCTTGTCTCGGATACTCTGGGGGAAGTACTTTTCAAGGAATATCTCCAAAAATTGAGCCCAATTCATTCCTTGATGTTCTTCTCAGATAAGCATCCATCAATGGCGTGCCTCATCCTCTAGTGTAAAAGTAGCAAGCAAGACTTTCTGTGCTTCTATGCATGGAAAGACTTCATACAATTTCTCGATACCAAGCACCCAAGCCTCCACCTTTAGTGGATCAATTCCTCATTTGAACAATGGCGTTTTCATCTTTTTAAATTCCTTTGTGAGAGCAATAGTTTGGTCGTCAGCTTGGTGGTCTTACATTATAGGTGGTGGCACAAGCATTGGTGGCGGTGGCGGTTGTTGTTGTTGTCTAAAGGCCTCTGCCATATCCATGATCATTGCCTCTATTCTATCAAGTCATGAGGAGGTTGAATCCTCTCCATCTTCTGCCCTTGTTCTCACTAGGATGTAGAGGAACATACATTATAACTTTCACAGATAATATACACATAAGTCACATTTACAAATGCACATTTTCATGTCATACTTGATTATGAATGCATTATGGATGCAACTGAAACCTTTTCTAGACTTCTCATTGCTCACATGGACTCGTGTGTGAGATATTAACTCGTGCTCTGATACCACTCTGTCATGACCCGAACTCGCCCCTAAAAGTTTGGGTCATAACTAGCTAATAATCACTTGATTACCTTCGACTTCAAACAAACATACAAAGTAATTATAGTAATGGGGCCAAAAGCTAAAGTATACAACAAAAGAATGAGTCCATTGAGTTGTGCCAATATGAGAAAAATAAAACACAGTCACATCATTTACATGCCCATGCAAAAAGAATATAAGTATCAAAGGAAATTTGTACATATCGTTTACAAATCCAAGACCATAATAGCAAAAACAAAATAAAATCAAGGTATGACGTGAGTCAAAGACAAAACTCCATCTCGGAGGCATGACTTGATTGTGTCACAAAAATAGCTCCTAAAGTTGACTCTAGGGGTGTGCTCCATGCTGATATTAGGTGAGCGAAGCTCAATGAGTAATAATACAGGAAAACAGTGTAAACGGATAATCATAAGGCTCTCACAATATCCATAATCATACAAACATAACGGCCTTAGGCATATATCAAAACTGCTTCGATCCTCGGGCCCAATCATATATCAAAACGGTTTCGGGCGCAACATATATCAAAACGGCCTCGAGCGCAACATATATCAAAACGAACTCGAGCCCAACATTGCTCATGTCACATAATATAAATGAAATTTCTTCATTTCGATCAAATCAATATGTCGGCACCATTACTGTTCATGGTTCGAGGTACACAATAAAGAACATGTATGTACAATATTATTACTCACAGTCTGTTTGATCTCGCGGCGTCTCTTTTGCCACATGACCTACACAAACGTTTCACACACACATTCGATAAATCATTTGCTTCAAGTCATATACGTATCTTCCATAATTCATAACCTTCTTTAACGAGTTTTTAGTCATCATTTCACTTCCAAAAGGGTTTAAATAAGGTTGGTAATGTGTTCTGGAGGTCGAGAGTATCAACAAAAAAAAAATAGATTTTCCCCCTGCTTGGCCGCACGGGCGGCCAGCCCAACTGCTTGAGCGCACAGTGTGGTCTGGTCTAGGCTTGGTTCATGGGCCGCTCGTGCAGAGCCTGTGGCCACACGAGCGGTTTGGTCACACCTAGACAGTTCGAAAATAGCTAAAAAATGCAAACTCTCCCACTTCATTTCCAAGCCCAAATTCATGCAAAACATCTAAAAAACATGATATACTAACATGATTCAAGGGTAATTCCACATTAAACCTATCAATCTTGTTTCTATTTTAGATTCACAGTTTCATTTCTTTCTCATAATCATTCATTATATAACCAAGTTCAAAATACATAATCCATGAATGATCTTCCAACAAATCTTGTTTTCATGAATCATCTAGGGTTTATTACTTGGATCAATCACAAAAATGGTCTCAAATCAAACAAAGGTGAAGATGTTAGGCTTCAATCTCATACATTTAGCTCTAGCCATTACAAAACTCAAAACTATCTCAAGTTCACAATTCCTTCTTGATTCCATGACAAAGATGAGTTAAAGACAAAGTGTGATAACCCTGTTCTGTAATTAGCTAATTGGTCCTTATTATGAGTTCGATTATATGTCTGATATGATTTTGTGTGCCAACTATGTGAATATATGTGGTTTTGAATTTCTATCTGTTTGCCATAGGAATATCTGTTTGATTATCTGCCTTGGAAATTTAATTGAAGGCCTTCTCGGCCGTAGAAACCGAAATTGACTGCGCCATTGGGATTGGTGTAAATTTTAGAGCCTACGATGAAATTTAATTAAAAATTGATTCAGATCAAATTAAACAGATTTAATTACTGGAATAGTGCCCAATTATGTAATATTGATAAAATATGTTGAGTGGGAGCTTATAAAGGGCCATTATTCACCTCACTCCTCCCTTTTGAGTTATTCGGCTGAGATATACTCTCTAGAGAGAGAGAGAGAGAGAGAGAGAGAGAGATCCGAATGAGAGAGAGAGAGAGAGTGTAGGAGATTGGGGCTTTGATCTTGAGGCTTGAAGATTTCTCAAGAAGCTTGAAGGTTTTGGAGTGTAACTCAAGAATTAAGCTTACATTGGGAAGATTGAGCTCCTAGGTGAGTAAATTCATGAGTTTGAACTTGTGATTTTGTGAATCAAAGATTAATTGGTGATTAAGAACAAGAGTTGTGCTATAATTGATAAATTTGAAATTAATATGCACATGAATGTATAGGATCACCATGATTTTGCATAATCAAGCATGTACTAAGTTGAATGTGGAAAAATGAGTGTTGAAACATACATGCAAGCATGTTTTTGTTGAGTTCCATGAGAATGGACACCAATTGCATTATTTGGAATAGAAATGGAGTCAAAGTTTACATGCATGCATGATTGAAGGGGTTATGAAATTAGTATGAAGTTTGAATGTATGGATTTTGATCATACAAAAAGAATGTTGATTAAATTCGAAGAATTGGACCATGATTTTGGAAGATTGGCTTCATATTGTTTACATCCATGTATTATATGAGGTATTTGCATATTTTTGGTGCCTTAGTTCGAGCTTAAAGCCTTTTGAATGCTGAATGTGAGCTCAAGAGCATTGCTGGAAAACCCAGAAATTTTGGTGTCCGCATGAGCGGGGAAGTCCACGCTCGAGCGGGAAAAACGGGCTCCCAGCATTTTTTGCAGACATGGACTTCCGCTCGAGCAGGGAAGTTCACGCTCGAGCGGGGAGCCATGTAACGAGGCATTCCGCTCGAGCGCCAGACTTCACGCTCGAGCGTAGAAATGACATATCCAGTACTTTTGCAGACCTCATGGGTCCGCTGGAGCGGGGAAGTCCATGCTTGAGCGGGGACCCTGTTTCTTGAAATTTTGAAAATGCATTATGTTTTCCGTTTTCCGTTCCCTTTCACTTCTAAGTACTCTTAGGCATACATTGAGCATTGTAAATGAGTTAGAAGAATAAGAATTAAGCCTAAAGAGGAATATGTGAATTAAGAACGGACTGAATTGGTTGTGACCCATATGTGTTATGTGATGTGTAGGGTCAAGCTCCACGGCAAATCAATCAGCCGATCACTGTGAGCAATATTTAACAAAGATATCTGAAATGTGTTATTGTCCAATTGCTTACGTCCATGTAAGTTGTATAAATGATTGGTATTCGATTGGTGGACAATGTTTGCTATACTAAATGAATAGGCCAGAGGCCGTTTTGACAAGAATAAATGATTGGGCCGAAGGCCGATTGACATGAATGATTGGGCCGAAGGCCGATTAACATAAATGATTGGGCCAAAGGCCGTTTTGACACAAATGAAAGTTTGACATGCATGAATGGGCCAGAGGCCAGTTTGACATACATGAATGGGCCAAAGGCGAGTTTGACATGAATGAATGGGCCAGAGGCCATTTTGACACCAATGAATGTGCCAGAGACCAGTTTGACATGAATGAAAGTTGAATGGGCC